TTCACAAAAGTGATGGATTTTTCTTGGTTGAGAGGTTTTACAATTCCTCATTTGATCTAAAACAATAATATCGGATTTATTCATATAATTTAAGCAGTCTTATTTATTTCATAAGCAATCGTTTTTGATTGATAGATATAAAATAGACAGTTTAGTTGGTTCATAGCTATCAGAGCTATGATTGTTGCATTAATTATAATTTCATTGTTTCAGTAACGCCCGTTCATAAATTTCATATATATGATTAACAAAAATAGTTGAGTTAGAAATTAAAAACTTACAATCTAAAACGCCTTAATAAATTTCTCAATTACCACAATGTATAATAATTATAGTAAATTCCTCAATTACTAGTATAACAACATGTTGTGACTATCACTATTTAATTCTTAATTACTACAAAGTAATTAAGAATTAATTAAGAATTTCAGTATTAAAATTCTCAACTTTTTTCTTGAACAATCAGTATATTTAAGCCTAATTTATAGTCAAACCTGTTTTTATGCGGCTTTTTTTTTTGTTCGATTTTTGTGCTTTTTTTTTTGTTGATTTTTTTGTGCGATTTTTTTGTGTGTTTTTTATTTTTGTGCGATTTTTATTCTTGTGCGTTTTATTTTTGTGAGGCATATAAACTTGGAGCATATTTAAAAAGTTATCAGCTATATATGTGTTACGATATATGTTATGATTATATGTTATGATTCTTTCAGTCAGAATAATCTTGTTGAAATGTTTCAGAATAGAACCGTAAGAGATTACGACATTATAAATTACGTAATGAATATTACTAATGAGCAAAAAGAACCCGATACAATGACAGCACATATCATCTATGCAGGACTTTAACTTTGTCATAAATTAAAATGTCGTCAATAATTCCAATCGATACTAATTCTATAAGAATTTAATAATTTCAAAAAGAGCTTCAATCTTGTGTATCTGTATACCGAGACATATATATACCGAGACATATATAAGCGTCTAGTGAAACAACAATTGTCGCAAAAACTGATCACCTTAACTCAAAAAAAATCAAATTTAAAGAAGTGCAAGATAGTATCTATGAGTGTCGACTTTAAATCAGTTTACTACAAGAAATTTCACGTATTATCAGACTGCGAGGAATAATATGAAAAAGCAGCAACAAAAAGTTGTCTAAACTCATATTTAATCATATAGTTATCATTCTAACAACTTTTATCCTTAATATCATGCATGCTTTTTATAATAGTTATAAGGTGATTTTTTTATGATAACTGTTAGGGTCCCTGAGTAGGACCGATAATATCTTGTTGGAATGAATTGAGTTCAGTGTTTAGTTTATATATCAGTACTATATTATCTCGCTAACATATTTTATTTTAGTCAGGGCACCGCTCTTGTATAAGTATCCTGTTAAGCTATATGTTATTACTTTATTGCAGTATAGAACACAAGGAAAGGCTTGAAGAAGATCCAGAGGTAGGTTATACTGCAGTTCTTATTAAAGCAGACCTATGGGAACTGATGCATAGGTGCAACGAAAACATGTTAACAAAATCCACATTTTTCTCATACTGCTCATAAATATTGTAAGGTAGTATAATAAACGCAACCAGACAGCTTATAAACGTAGTTTTATTCCACATCAATAAACCTCTAGCATAATATTGCATATAATATTTTCCTAAAAGTATACAATACTTCTTCACAGTAAAGATGGCTTAGCTACCCACATCAAGAAATTTATGAAGAATTTAACCGCATACCCGTGTAGTGTAGCTGTTGTTTAGATGGTTTAATATATTCATTATAGTTTCAGATGTGTCATTTGATTTAATATTGCGATATGAGATGATTATTTAAATATTAAATATTTTCGTTTATCATAATTATTAGCTATAAATTCACATATAACAAAAAAAAATCAATATTATTTCTACATTTTATAAAACTTAGATTACTACTGTGAGTTTTAAATATATTTTAAAAGCTAAGTCCCATATGCTATGTAGATCAATTTTGATAGTTGCAATTAGACAGAGTACAAAACAGAAGTAGAAGTAAAATAAAATATTAATAAACGAATTTCTAAGGGAAACCACAGAACTTCTTGAAACCGGAAAAATGATATCAGTTAATTAAATATATTATAGCAATAAAAATTAAGCCATTAACATACGTGACTATAGATAAAGATGTGTTTACTTATACAGATATTTAACTTATTCATATGTAATTTACATATCATTATAATAAAAAAAATATATAATATATTCTAATTGAACATCAAAAAAAAAACAGATTATGATTTAAGTATACTTTTGAAGTTTCCGATCATATTGTGGGGATTAGCAGTTAGTCACTACAATATTGAGAATATGCTGAGTGATAAAGCAATTCGAAATATAATATTATCATTGATTATCATCAACTTATTAACGAAATTGACCACATTGAACTTCAATACTTATTATTATATATTCATTCTAATAAAAGAGATACCACTACATATTGGATTTTACTGATGTTTTCGACTTTGCAGAGAGGAAAGAAAAATAATATTAGAGGAGATTATGTTACCTTTGTTCAGTATGCAGTTAATTGTTGATTTATTAGAGCTGCCATACCCCATATTATATTTATCAGTAGAAACCATTTATCAGTAGAAGTCGTAGTCATCTATTACAAACCAATGTGGAACTGATATGCATTAAGAGCATAACTGGTGCCCCGAAAATAATATATCATATTAATATATCCATAGTAGATAGTAAATAGAATTTTTGAGGACTATTCAGGCCGTGGAACAATAGGCTCCCATTCGCTACGCTACTGCCAAGTCTCAGTGCAATAAAAAATGTCTACAGTTATCTTAATAACATGGAGAACATGGAGTACAAATTATCATCATAAATATTTTTGTTGTTCCCAATAAAATTATTTTATACCCAGGGCTTAAGTTTAATTGTATTCACAGATTGAATTCTACCGAGTTGATTATTGAACTGGTTTGTGAATGTTATCTACCTGACTTGGCCTGCAAACTATCTACCTTATACCTATATATTCATGGATATATGTCAGTAACCCACTTGTAGCTAACCTCTTTAGTATATAGAAAATAAATTCAATAAACCTTTTAATCCGTAATTTCAAAGTGACTGCATTAAAGTTACATAGTTATCCACACGGATCGGTAACAATATCTCCAGATTACCTCGAAGGCATAACAAGAATACCAGATTAGAGTAGCTTTAGATAAAACCATAATAAACTTAACTTTTTGGAAACATTAATATTAATATTTTCTGTGAATCAAGCTTGTAGCCACAATTTAGTAGGTGCGGTAGGTGGTTTTTAGATAAAATAGTCGATCAACTACACTTTTAAATATAACTATCATATAAGCTGATATACTCGATACAGGGTGGTATAAAAAAAACTCCTTTATTTGTTGGTATGTTTTGACTAAAAAGTAACTATTGAAATCTGTATTATGTAGTAATAGTAAAAACGATTGATCAATAAAGACTTAGAGAGACTAGCTACTAAAAATAATTAGTAGCTAGTAGTTAATTTTAATAAATTTCTATGTTTTTCGATTTCAATATAATCATTACCCAATTTAAAGATTCGTGTTCATGTTTTTTTTAATTGTTTTTTATCTATCTATTGTAGTCACTACTTACTATACTTAAGCCTCTAGAACTAATAAAACCTATAGACATAAGTAGCATTTAGTATTTAACAAAAACTAAAAAATATTCGTATGGTATTTTCAGTAATGTAATAATTAAAATCATTTATATTTTTTATTAATTAAATTATAAGTACTCTAAGAAATTCAGTTATATAGAAGAAAGAAATACATACATATAAGCAACTAAATTGTTAACAGAATCTTAACTTGGCTAAATCGTTTCGTTTAAATGTTTTAAACAAAATAAATATTTATAAAATTCGACAAACACACTCGAGATCATTTAATTAACTAAAATAATAAATTATTTATTTGTTTTGCTACATCATCCGTTTTTTTTTATTTTAAATTATTTGTGTCAAAAACAATATTTATTTTTAATAAGCACCTTTTATGAATTAATAAGAGATACGAGTATCTTAACTAAAATGTATAGCATCAAATATATTTAAAGCAACAGCTTGTTTGGATAAGAGAGTTCAAACAAAAATCTCATCAGTTTAGGCCAAATGTTATTCAATTGCGTAATTTTGAATAAATTATAAATACAATATATTCAGTTCCTAAAATACACTACACCATAGAATACTAATGGAAAACGTCTAAAAAATAAAGTACAAATAAAATTGTTATATGATCAGTGTCTGTGAAGCCCCATTGATGAGGGCTTTTCGTAACAGTTAGATCAAGGCCTTAATCCAAAACCGCATAATCGATTACAATGAACAAAACAAAGTTTCTAAAATAGTTTATAATGGGAAACCGAATTATTGGAATATATTAGTATCTGTTTGCTAGACCCTTTCAGAAGTCTTGTTAATAATATTCTTTGAAACTAAGCAACAAAATGCATTTTACTGTATAAAAGCACCTCTGCTTACAAAGCACATTACCGTACAATTTCTCAATTTAATTTACAGCATCTCCAGTTTAGAAATCCATCATACGCTCATATTTATCACTCAACACTCTGTCTATAATTTTTGAAATACTTGTCATCAATAAATCGTACTAACTAAGGAGTGTTGTTATGTTCCACTTTATCAACTCAATTTAACATGTATTTAAGTAACTAAATATAAAACTATTATGCCAACTGTAGGGTGCACTAATTTAACACTACTCTATGATCGTTAAACCTATAATTAATAGAATAATAAAATGCAAAGAAACCAAACAAGTACGGGAACTAAAAAAATCCCAATTTTTGTGACTACTGTCATCAATGATTTTTATTTATTTTATATATTCTCAGGTAAAAATATTTTATATATGTTGAAGCTATAATCAATTTCATGACCACTTCTATTTAATTTGCTGTTCGGTGCAGTTGTTAAAAAAAGAGTTTTAAAAAAATTAATTAAATTTAAATTAATTAAAATGAAATTCATTGCTTTAATTATTTTCGGTTTGTGTTCTTTTTTTCTTACAATATGTATTATTAATAACAAATTGTGAATTTTCTAATAAATTTTTGTTCTGCAGCATTAGTGCTTGTATGCTCTATTCAAGCACAAAAAGATGATTGTCCTCGATTCTGTCCAGCAATTTTTTCACCCGTTTGTGCTTTCAATGGAAAATGTTATAAACAGTTTGGTAATAGTTGCGAATTGGGTGCATCAGCATGCAATGGAAAAGGACGTAAGTAGTTTCTAGAATTAAGAGTTCTTTTAGTTTTTTTTATAAATTTCCATTAAAACAATAGTTTGAAAGTTAACAAGTTTCTGTTCAAATAAGCAGATTTGATCCCAATAATTTATTTTATTAACAAAGCCTACAAATGAGATGTTCAACAGATAGACATTTCTTACATAGATTTTAAAAATTAATTAATATATTTCTAACTAATGAATAGTTCTAATATTTCAGCAATTAGCTTTTAGTTACTTCGATTAGATATTTATCTATATAGTTTGATATTATTACTCTTCCACTATATTGATCTGACAATATTATTAACATATGTTCCTAAAATGCTATTTTCCCGCTGCTTGTGTATGTGTTATATACTTATTATAAAAAATCAAACTTCCATTGATATGCCAAAATATAATTTTATTCAGTCGTCCTTATACTGTATTCTGAGAATAAAAATTATTTTAGCTAACTATCGTGAGACCAATCTAATAACTGTCGCGTACAACGTCCTTTCAAATGAAGCATAGGTATAAAAGGTTAAAGTCTCTTGCCAACTCACTGATTGAGTCTTCTCAATTCAACTTTTGACCTGGGCGTTTCGCCATTGAATAAATATTCACACACCGACAAACTGACAAACTCAGAAAAAAGCCCATGAAAATTTCGGTAACCCTATCATGGATCGCGTTTGCGTAGTGATGTCTAAACTCGCTTAGCAATAGTGAATCACACTCTTGTCAATAGATGCTGCTACGACCTCACTAAAGAATTTAAATGTAGAGCTATCTTATAATTAACGCTCATCCTATGATTTTGTATGAAGCAGAAGCATGGAGGCTATCACAGAGTGATCAGGTAGTAAGTAGTAGTAATAGTAAAAATTATTCGTGAAGTTTTTGCTCCTCTATAAGCTGAGAATAACCATCGCATCTAAACAATCAACAAGCTATTATAAGCTTTATCACAGCATTGCCATAGTTCAGCGTATTAACATTCACTTGTTGCTAATTTAATCATGTGAAAAGAATTTATAACGATACTACAACAAAGAAGTTAACTGTTAGTGGAAGAATATATAGAATAAGACCTTGTTTTGATGTAGTGATCGATTCAGGGAGTACTAATTACGAATCAGACATACCATAAAAGAAATGCCTTGTCATATCAGAAACAACAAGGAATTGCTATAGGCAAATAAATAAGTAATAAATAGGAATGGAGTACCTTCCACACTGTTGCAAAAGACATTCATAAGGCAAATAAAATAATAAGGTATAATACGACATTGTATATCGTTCCCTATATTTTCAGAATCAGCCAAAATAATATCAAACATACAATAACTTATACTTTACCTTACATAACTTACACTGCTCGTTTTTTAATAAAGTTACTTACTCTTAAATATACTATACAATATTTAGACGATCTAAAACGTCGGGCAGATATAACACTCGTCATATAATAAAGACAATATTAGCATAAATACACATCCATAATTTTTTTTTCAAATGTTAACAAAAATTTTCAAAGTAATTCAAATATGATCTCCTAAGTTTCACTAGAAATATTGTCAATCTGCTTTACGTCTTTCACTAGGTCGTACGTCAGGTCGTAAATGTTTTTTCAACCAGCTTTCTTCCGGAATATCATTGCTTAATATATAAATTGTATATAAATTTTAATATAAATTGTGTGCCCCAGTAAAGAATTCTATAAAATGATAAATATGCTGAGATATTTCAGCCTGAAATATCGTCACTTCAGCCTGAAATATCGTCACTTCAGCCTGATGACTTTGCTGACTTAATTCATACTAATGACAGTTTTGAGACCAATGTTAAAACTGTGAAGCTAGTCCTTAGTATAGCTCTGTCCGACATTTTCTACACTATTTATGAGATTTCTATTTTGAAGAATTTATAGAACCAGTAAATGCTAAATTATTATTGATACCTGATAGTTTAATATTGGTGAGTCAAAAACTTGATGCATATTTTTTTTTAATAATATCACAATGGGATAACGAGTATTCCAAATATTTTGAGACAACTTTTATATTAATAATAACAGTAATAATAATAATAACAATAATAATAATAATGATTATTTTTTATTTTTCAAATTTCTTTTTAGGTTTCCGACAAGTTGGTTTGGAGGAATGTTCTAAGCGTGGAGTCCGTCTATGTAACTAAGATTAATTTATATACAAGCATTATTTAAATATATAAAATAGTTGAATATAGTTTACATTTAAGACATTCTAATATTCAAAAATAAAATATCTAATAATATTTGTTGTGTATTTTAATTATTTAAATATTACTTAAGTAGTGTTTAAACCGGTAAACTTGAAACCTTTGTTTGAAAAATATGATGTAATATTATATTTCTTCTCTTCTTACCTTTATATTATTTTAATAATTTATATTTAACACCAAAAACTATTAAAATATATATTTATTAATGTATTTTAATGCAGTATCAGATGATTGTCAAAGAATATCAAATGAAATTACAGACTACAAAACGTCAATAGTTTATATAGTAAAGAACACTCATCAGGGTTCAGTCTTAAAACCAATTAAGGGCTAAGATGTTTAATAATAGGTAACTGCTATTACAACGATAATTATCAAACTATGTTATAGTAGTGTCAAGAACTATAACCAGAGTATCATGCTTCGTGATCAATTTCATCATATTGTGTACACACGTATCAATCATTCTTCTGGCTTGTAGCGTAAAGTGGCAGCCAAAAATGCTAAATACCGGTTTTAAATGTGTGACAAAGACAAGACCAATGGGGTAATGAACCCCAGACAGTATATATAAGTTATTTATAATATTTTTATGATCACCACGTTTGTGATGTTATATTTATTTTTTATTTAAGTGCAGACAAAAAGACATGTATGTAGTTCCGAAGTCAAGTAAAAGTGAACGAGCTTAGATTGTCACGTTGAGAGACACGAAAGCCAAACGGGACTTTTCCAGACAAACAAGTTGGTATTCGGTTTGATTGCAATCAAGCGATCGAAATAATATCGCATGATTATGTCATTAATGAAACTAAGCGCAGTGGTCGGATTTGAAAGGATGCGGGGTGTTAACTTATATACTAACCAATTTATTGTTGTTGCTGATTCTGTTTATGTATCAACATTTTTTGGTTGTAGAAAGCACATAAAAATACTTTAGAAGTGTAAGGTAATTTCAGAATATATTACACTCATTTCAAAATTGATTATTTTCTAATGGTATAGAGAAATATAGATCTATAAGCTTTAGTACTCTTGACATTATTTATAAAGAAAATTCAAATCAAAGCTCATTTACATTATCTCCAGTCCAGAAATCCATCATTTGCTCATATTTATCACTCAACACTCTGTCTACAATTTTTGAAAAACTCGTCATCCATAAATCGTACTAACCAATTAAGGAGTGTTGATTTTCTTCCACTTTATCAACTCATGTGTATAAATAGGTAAATATATAACTATTATGCCAACTTTAGAGTGCACTAATTTAACATTACTCTATGTTTGTTAAACCTATAATTAATAGAATAATTAATGCAGAGAAAATAAACAAGTACGGAAACTAAAAAAATCCCAATTTATGTGACTACTATCATCAATGATTTTTATTTATTTTATATATTCTCAATTAAAAAAATTTTATATATATTGATGGTATATCAATTTCATGATCACTTCTATTTAATTTGCTGTTCGGTGCAGTTGCTGAAATAAGAGAGTTAAAAAAGTCACATTAATTAAATTAATTAAAATGAAATTCATTGCTTTAATCGTTTTCGGTATGTGCTTTCTATTTTTTTTGCAATATGTATTATTAATAAAGAATTCTGTAATTTTTAATAAATTTTTTATTCTACAGCATTCATGCTTATATGCTCTATTCAAGCACAAAAAAATGGGTGCCCTGAAATCTGTCCAGCAGTCCTTTCACCTGTTTGCGGTTTTAATGGAATATGTTATAAAGAATTTGGTAACAGTTGCGAATTGGATGCATCACCATGCAATGGAAGAGGACGTAAGTAGTTTTATACAGTTTTTACTTATTTTTTAATTTTGTATTAAAAGAATAGTGTAAAAATTGACAACTTCCTGTCCATATGAGTAAATCTATTCATATAAATGTGTTCTATTATAAAAGCTTATAAATTGGATGTTCCGAATACAAATCCTTTTCCAACTAATAATAAGTTCTCATATTTCAGCAATCATCTTTTAGTTACCTCCATTAGATTTTCATCTATATAACATAAAATTGCATACTCTTTCGACATATTGATCTTGGAATATTGATATGGCACAGAAATGTTATTTTCTCGCCGCTTGTGAATATATTATATACTTATTACAAAAAATTAGACTTCCATTGAAAATATGCCAAAACATAATTATCATATCTTGCGTTAAAACATAATATTTAATTAGTCATCCATACTCAATATTCTGCAAAAATAAAAAAAAACAATTCAACGATTTGGACCAATTATCGTAGGATCAGCCCACAAAGTCTGTCGCGTACAAAGTCTTTTCAACCGTAATATATGAAAAGTTGAAGTCACTTGCCAACTTTTGACCTGCTCGTTTCACCATTGAATAAATACTCACACTGCGAAAAATCCAGGCAAAAACCCACAAACAAAATATTGACTTCCAATATCTAGTGAATCACGTTTACGCTTTACTGTCTAAACTCGCTATTCTCCCAAAGCTAATACGCCCCTGCAGAATGACTTTGGCCAATACCCTTCAACGTAGAAACAAGTTTCTCTGATACTACGGTACCAGGCTTTAAACAAGCTAATCCCTTTAGATAAGAAGGTGGTCATGCCAAGGCAGATGTTTATTATAATAATATAATGAATAATATTATATATATTGAATATATATATATACAATATATGTATTTTTTTACAACATTGTAAAAAACTGTTAGCTACTTATGCTGACACCATTGACACCATCGAGTGTAGCTAGCGTAACTTCACTGCTGCCTTTGAAATCTTCAAAAACGAGACAAAGAAAGAAAAATCAATTTTTTTGTTTTGCAGTAGGTAGAAAGCGTCGAAAGCCACAGTGGGAATCTTGAACCCAGTAAATCCACCTCTTGGGAACAAGTTGAGAAGACCTCAGCCACCAGACTATGAAGGTATCTGACCGAGATCGCATTTCAGTAATCAGAGAGTGAAAATGTTAGAAGCTTTGTGTATTATTTGAGTTTTCAAATTTATCTAAGCTAGGAGTGAGAACGTAATTACCGTTAATTATAGACGATGATGGGTATTTACAAAAGACTGGTACTTCTAGAGACATACTCCAGTACAAATCAAAGTCTATATCAATAACCACTACCATAGATATCGAGGACTTTATATTTCTTGGCACCGTCGCAACTAATCATTACGTCAAAAACTTAGAATTCAAACAAAGAATCAGATCCTTACCTATAGGTTCTGCTACGGCCTTACTAAAAAAATAAAATGTTAAGCTCTTTTTCAACTGATACAACTTACGATCATTCTTTGATTTTGTATGAATCAGAAGCATGGACGTATGGAATAATCAAGTTCAAGATAAAATTCGGAGAACTTTTCAAGAAAAAAGTTATTCATAAGATTTTTGATACTCTACAAGTTGAAAACAGCGACCGCAGCTCTACCTACAACCAGTAGCTCCGTATTATGTAAATGCTGCATTATTATTGATATTTGATAGTTTAATATTGGTGGGCCAAAAACTTTATGCCATTTTTTTTTAATGATATCACAATGCGATAACGAGTATTTCAATCATTTTTAGACAACTTTTTTATTAATATTAATAGTAATAATAATAATAATAATTTAAATATATTTTAATTTCAAATACCTTTTTAGATTTCCGACAAGTTGGTTTGGAGGAATGTTCTAAGCCTGGAGTGCGTCTATGTAACTAAGATTAATTTATATGCAAGCATTATTTTAATATGTATATATAAAATAATTGCAAATAATTTATAATTTTAAATTTTATAATTATTTATAATTTAAAAGTACTTATATTCACAAATAAAATATTTAATAATATTTGTTGTGTATTTTAATTATTTAATATTAATTAATAATTTACATTTAACACCAAAAACTATTAAAATATTAATTTATTGCATTATAGAATAGAACACTCATCAGGGTTCAATCTTAAAACCAATTAAGGTATAAGGTGTTTAATAATAGGTAACTGCTATTACAACGATAACTATCAAACTGTGTTATAGTCGTTTTAAGGACTATAGCCATAGTATTATGCTTCGTGATCAATTCCAACATATTATCAACCGTTCGTGAAGTAGAGTGGCGACCAAAAATGCTACACCCCGGTTTAAATGTGTGACTAAAATTATTTTGTGATTAAAATAGTTGGGCAATAACCCTCAGAAAACATAAATATATTTTCCCATGTTTTGCTATAACTGATTCTGTTTATGAATCAGTATGTTTTATAGAAACATAATTTCATGGAATTTATGGTTTAATGGAAGGAGCATTTTTATTAATTTATTTAATTTAACTTTTAAGTAATAATTTTACTATAAATCTTTACCTTAAATTTAAAGTGGCTGCTCGAAAATTTTAAATTATTTTCCAATAATTACTACAAACTCTATAGTAATTGATACTCTAACGACAAGCTTTCCCAGTATTTTAAGAATACACTACACCTATTTCAAAACTCGTACGTCTTTAATGGTCTATAGCAATATAGATTTGTAAACTTCCGATTAGTACACTTGTTACTACTTTCTTCATAGAGAATATTCAATAAATAATAATAAAATATATAAAAAGCTTTATGTTAGTTATATGGGTATCATACTCGATCAAGAAGCCTAAAGGTTTCACTATTTATGGGAATAGTAATCTAATGTAATTTTATGTATATATGTATGTATGTAGCAGTTTATCGTGTGTATGAGAATCATTGTTAATACCTTCAACCACCTATTTTATTTATTTAATTTATCATTTTAATTATTTATAAACAATACATGCGTATTTTCTAAAATTTCTAAAATAATATTTATACGTTTATATATATCTTTAACTGAAATCATTATTAAAATGCGTTAAATTTAATTTTTAATTAAAAAATTGCAATGAAGCCATCATATATGCAAACATTGATGATAAAAGAGTAAACATACGCTGTCTTTGGCTTGAAAAGTCGACCCTTAAAGTACTTTCAGTTGTTGGTTCTTTGGTTGTATAGAATCGTGGCGTTACAACATTAATAGGGGAATTAGTAGGGGAATATCCAGAGCCTTCATAACTATAATTTTTTTCCTCTTCAAAAGCACCAATCTCATTAAATTTGTCATCATTTTCTGGATCACGCAATAGTTTTTCAAGTTTTGCAGCCAAATCATTTGGTCTAGCATAAATAATTTGGATTGTCATGCAAACTACAAGACCGAAAAATTCAAAAAAAAAAAAAATAATATTAACAATATTTTTGCGCCAAATAAGCAAAAATAATTTATTCAAAATTCTTTTAATAAATTTTTGGTATATTTTTTATTAAATAAACTCACCTATGAAAATAGTAGAGAAAATAGTTAAACTCGAGAAGCATTTCATATTGCGACTGTTATTGGAACGAACTAGACTCTTACCTGAAAGACTTCTGAATAACCCTACAAATCTATAATAACTATAGAAATTTGTATTAAGCAAGTCTGTTTTATGGAATTGAAAACTTGTACGTGTTGTTTTATGGAATGCATCTGTAAATAATTATCTTAAAATTGTAACGATAAAATTAAAAAAATCACGTTTAAGTTTCTTGCATTCTTGAAGAGAACGGTGTCGGATTTAAAGATGCTTCTAAAATATTTTTGTCATAGCTTAAATCAATTCATCTCATTTATTAAATATGATATATCAAAATATATAAATATATATCAATATATAATAATATATCAAAATTAATATAACCATCAGATACATAAAAATTATATCAATGTTACTGATATCTTTAGAAAGTGCACCTTAGACTTAATGAACAACTGAAAGAGTATAAAAATTGATTAGCATGCTCTCATACCATAAAACTTTCTCACTAATCCATTAATTTTGTCTATCCCTACCCAAAAAAATTATAAATAAATCGCATGGAGTTCCAATGCCTTTAGCACTGTAACACTGTCATTGTAATAACAAATATTAATATTTATAAATAAAGGACTAATATGTTATATATAATTAAAATAATATAATAAAATAATTAAAAAAAAATATAATTAAAATTACTAAGGTAGTTATTTATGAATGTATCACTTAGAAGCACATATACCTGATAACGAACACTATACTAACTTCTTCGTCCATAGCTCTTTTAAAGTAACTCGACCTGTGGATTTTTTACTCTATCTTAAAAAATTATCCGAAATTATGACATCTTTTACTTTGCCGTACTTTCCTTTAATTTGCTTCAAAGCATGAGAGATAAGAACTTCTACCCATAAAAAGAATTATATTGGGTAAGATAAAAATTATGCGGTTGTTTTTGTAAATATATGGTGTTGGTACCCATATATATCTGGTAACACTAATCTAATTATGTCAAACTAATACGTACTTGAAACGTGACATTTCTGGCCACTTTTTTCGCAAAGACAATTGTGCAATTAGTCACTCGTATAAAAAGTTACATAGTTATAAAAATTAATATAATATATAAAGAAATGGGCTATGTGATGCTTTATTTTTTAAAAAAGACGATACCATTTAGTAACAAGCCGAAAATTTTTTACGATTTACAGTGAAAATGCTTTAAGTGAATGCCAGAAGTGGTTTTTTCGATTCCGTTTCGTAAATTTTAATGTCAAAGATGTACCACGCCCTAATCGATCAGTCACTATAAAGCCAGTGAAATTTTGATTGGCTGTCAACTGCTGAACTGCCTGGAGATAGTGGAGGTACTTTTTTAATGATAAAAAATTGGCTGACCGAAGATTCAATGAAAGTCACTTAGGCATGTTTTTCGACGATATAGATTCGTAAACTTCCGATTAATACACAAATTATAGGGCTACATAAAATATAGCAAGAAGTCATAAATAATAATAACTAATATATATGTTATTAAAATTGATTTGTAATAATAAAAATATTTGTTTAAAAATTAACCAAAAAACTTCAGACACTTTTTATATCATCCATTATAAACAAACAATTGAACTGGTAAGCCCATCAATATAAATGGATAGCAAACAAATTTCTATCTTAATTCACAATATAATCAAGATCATTACAATTTAAAAAGTAGAGTCTATTATAAGATAATGTAATTGAAGCTTTACTCCAAATACCTTCTGCTCAAAAAGTATCTGGATTTTGTTGTTTGTTAACTACTCCTTAAGTAATAGACTTTTTTCAAAAATTTCAAGTGCATTTAGCGATTTTTATTATGGAAAATTCTTGTTGTACGCGATTTTTTGACCAAACACGGCACCACTGTCATCGCTCAGGCATCATATTCACCAGATCTGGCGCCGTGCGACTTTTTCCTGTTTCCGAAACTCAAATTGCCCCTTCATGGTAAGCGTTTTGAGTCGATTGAATCGGTAAAAGAGAATTCGCCGAAGGAACTAAACGCCTTACCTGCACGGACCTATGAAAAATGTATGAAAGATGGGGTTAAGCGTTGGCATATGTGTATCGCTTCAGATGGAGCATATTTTGAAGGAGATAAAATAAATTTGGAATAAAATTTAAATTTGTGTTTTGTTTGTCTTGTTTTTTTAATATAAAACTTTATCAATTAAAAACTCTTTAAATGAGCATAAAATCTCTAAGGTTATTAACAAAATATTTATAGATTGAATAGTTGCAGTGGTTGATCGACAGATATCTCTACAGAATATTTAAATACACCTTCTTACGATAACTAGGGTAAGTGAAATAATTTCGAATATTCGTAATTATATACTATTCCTCCATTCAGAAAACTATGTATAGGTAAGGTGTTCAGATTGTTAACCTCAAACACAAGGTATGTATAGTCCATAGAATAGTATAGTATAGTATGATCCTATAGTTCAAAAATCAGCGACTGTTATTGAAACTATGTTACTAATTTATATCTGTATAAATTCAAAACTTTAGTTGACCCAAGTTCTAAAGATTATATGAAATTTCTCAAAATACTTATATTAAATACATCTTAATCCATCATTATTCTACAAAAGTTAAAGTGTAGTACTAGCACGAATATTTGTAACTAAAACTCTTAGTTACTTCCTTAAAACTAAATATTAAAACCGTCTTGAGTTTTATCTATTTTGGCAACAATAATAATGTTGACCTTACGATCCGGCAAAGAGATGACATTGCCAGTAGATATTATTACATGTTCGTTAGATAAATTATCAGCGAATTAACATCCATTAATTATTATTGACTTGATTATATCTTGAGATATTAAGGCGATAAGTTATTATTTTCCTATATATTATATATATTCCTATATATGTTATATGTATATATATTCCTATATTTATTTTATAATAATATTAAAAATATTGATAAGCACATACTAACTCAGTAAACTTCTTTCTGGTAAACAATTGCTAAAAAGATGCTCATCAAGTATATCATATCTTTTATGCAATTTCTAGTATAAGATACAAAAATTTAGAAACGATAGTATGTATACATACATATATTTAATAAAAATCTGCATAGACTATCTGCGTAAACTAATTATTTATTATTATTATTATATTAGTAAACTTTTCGTTTCTTAATAACTTGAGATAAAAACATAACCAAAACGCTGTGTTTAATTTTGTTATCAAAAACACTACAAACGTTTCTAAAAATTATTTAAAATATAATAAATTCAAAGTAATTGATAAGATCTGTTTTAAATCAATGAGTCAAGTATAGAAAATAATAGTCGTTTTGTTTTTATCTTAAAAACCAAATATGCGGCAAAGCCCATTCTAATTAATTATTATATTCATTAGAAAAATATTTTTAGCTACTAAATTTTAGTACTAAAAACATGCGAGTACAGATATATTTATTATCTATACAACTGCAATTGTATATACAATATTTGAGAAGTTCATAGCTTTTCAGAAATGGGTTTGTATATAAAATTGCAAATAAATTATTGCAAAATATACAACACTTGCGCAAACATTCAATTTTTGTTTAAATTAATTTCAAGAAAAATAAAATAAAATAAATAAAAATGACATTTGAGTGAAACAATAACAGAAAAACCTTAAATTTATCTTCTTTGGTATATAGGTGAACTTGTCTGATAAAGTACGAGTGTCTGAAATATGTACTTTTCATTTTAAAAAATAATATTGAAAAATAAATAATTCCAGACGGTAACAGTCAATTTAGAGCAGAAGTAGTTGAAAAGTGCTTTGCATTCCGGCAAACAAATTTAATTGAAAATTTTCAAAATAAAATTATAATAAGTAATTTTGAAAATTAAATTATAATAAATTAAAATAAAGGTTTTTATAATAAAGGAAACAATAACAAAAAAAAACTAAATTTACTTGAATATAAATTTAAAAATTTAATAGAACACAAATTACAAATATACGCTGAAACTGAAAACAAATTATTGTATAGTAAAAATTATAAATAATTAAATAATTAATTAAACGAAATTGTTAAGAAAACTTGTTCAAAACTATACAATATTTAACCAAGAAAAAAAGTAAATTAAACAAATTTATACAAATTATTATTGTTTATAAAAAAGTGATAACATTTAAAATTAAAAATACAACTACAAAAACTAAAAATATTTTAAAAGTGAAAGATGTAATTACATATATACAATTAAATTGTTAAAAAAAAATATAAAATAAATACATAATTAATATTGAAAACATTACATTATAATTTATATAAAACCAACTTTTATAATAGTATAAAATAATAAGATAAGTATTATTATATTGCTATAATACAAAAAATATTATTATTAAAGTAATAATAAAAGTATTATTATTAAAGTAATAATTTAATTAATACTTATTGTATTATTATTAGTATAGTATAATATAATACAATAAGTATTATTATATTACAATAATACAATAAGTATTATTATATTACAATAATACAAAAAGTAGTATTATTAAAATAATAATTATAATAAATTTTTGTTTTACAAAAATTAAATATGTTTTAACATTGAAAGTTATAATAATAATTATATATACAAATAAATTGTTAAAAAAATTTTAAAATAAATACATAATTAATATTGAAAGCATTACATTATAATTTATATAAAAAAACGAACTTTTAGTATAGTATTAAATAATAAGATAAGTATTATTATATTACTATAATACAAAAAATATTATTACTAAAGTAATAATTATAATAAATTTTTATTTTACAAAAATTAAAAATGTTTCAACAGCGAAAGTTATAATTATATTCATATATACAAATAAATTGTTAAAAAAATTATAAAATAAATACCTAATTAATGTTAAAAATATTAAGATAATTTAAATTATAAATATTATTATATTACAATAATACAAAAAGTATTATTATAAAAATAATAATAAAAGTATTATTATTAAAGTAATAATTAAATTAATAAATTTTTATTTTACAAAAACAATGTATTAAAATAATTAATATACTAATCCTCATTATTTTAATAAAAATA